GCCGACCTTCAAAACATGCGCACCCAGCACGAAAACGACCTTGCAGCGATGCAGACCGCTAATGAAGCAGACCTCGCAGCGTTACGTGCCGAGAATGAGCGCATTCGCGCCCAGCTCCCTCGACACCACTCCGAACAACCTCCGCACGAGAGCGACACTCATGAGGAGGAGGCACATTCAGCCTCCCAATCCCGAGCGACGACCAAGGCACCGACTTCACGGCCCGCCACGCACCGGTCTCATGCATCAACGCACAGATCAGGGCAGGGTACTAGCAGGGCCCCCACCCATGTCTCTGAGGGCCAAGAACCCTTCCGCCGTCATCCTTTTGTGGATGGCATCATGGAGACCCCACTGCCCCGCAGGTGGAAGCCCCTCCACCTCGACCGCTACGACGGCACCACGGACCCCGACGAGCACATCGACTCGTACACAACTCAGGTAAACCTCTACACTAACAGTGACGCTATATTGTGTAGGGTTTTTCCGACCTCGCTCAAGGGACCCGCGCTCCATTAGTACACCCAACTACCAGCCGGATCCATCGACAGCTTTGGCACCCCGGTGCGGCGATTCATGGCACAATATGCCACCAGTCGACCTCACCACAAAACCTCGGCCGCCTTGGCCAATCTTAGGCAGAACGACGATGAACCTCTGCGAGCTTTCATGGAGCGCTTCTCCAACATCTCGGTTCGAATCCGAAATCTCAACCCAGAGGTTGCCCTGCACGCCATGCTCATGACACTGAAACCCGGCTCATTCGTCGACAGTCTATGTCGCGATGCCCCCCGCGACATGGACAAACTGCGTGCCCGCGCCGCCGGCTACATTCAGATGGAAGAGCACTCGGCCTTCCGCGACCAAGTTCGCGGGAAGGGCCCCGCGAAACCGGAACAGGGTCACAAAGATAAGGTAAGAGTCAATAATGACAGCCAATTCAAGAAGTCGGTCAAGGCAAACAGAGGCGGGAGGTATGACTTCTACACTCCCCTGAACGCCCCGAGAGTCCACATCCTGGAGGAAGCCAGTAATAGTAACCTACTAGCCCTCCCACCACCTGGCCACACTCCCAACAGCGCCGATAAGTCCAAGCACTGCCGGTACCACAGGAACTACGGCCACACCACTAACGAGTGCCGCACGCTCTGGGACCGCATCGAAGAGCTCATCCAGGCAGGCCGCCTCGACCACTACATCCAGCGACAGCCAGGTTCTCGAGGTGGCTCTGGAGGTCGGGGACGCGGGAGAGGCCGCGGGTCAGGAACTCGCATAGACTTACCCGCAGGGTCCCAGCAAAATGTCAATGGCGCAGTACAGGCCAAAATAGGTCAGGAGACAGAATCAGCCCCCTTGCGGGGAATAATCAACACAATCGCAGGCGGCTTCGTTGGAGGAGGCGCTAGCAGCTCAGCCCGGAAAAGACACCTTCGAAGTATCAACTGCGCCCACTCCATCGCCTCGCTCTCGCACAAGAGCTCGCCACCGATCTCCTTTTCGGATGAGGACTATGTGGGAATCAGCCCTAACCAAGATGACCCCATGGTCATTGTGGTAGAGATCGCCAATTGGGAAGTACAAAAGACACTCATCGACCAAGGGAGCTCGGCCGACGTCCTGTACTGGCCAACATTCCTCAGGCTCGACGTCCCCCATTCTCTAATCCAGCCACACACAGAGCCCCTAGTTGGCTTTGCCGGCAAACGGGTCCACACCTGTCCCGCGGATATGTGGATCTGCTGACAACCTTCGGAACACCTCCGGATGCAAGGAGGGTCATGGTTCGATACCTCCTCGTGGAGGCCAACACCTCCTACAACATCATCATCGGGAGGCCGACCCTAAACCACCTCGGTGCGGTAGTATCCACTCCGCACCTCACCATGAAGTTCCCAGGGAATGACGGTAAGATTATCTCCGTCAGAGCAAACCAGAAGACAGCTCGGCAATGCTACGCCGAGAGCCTGAGGATCTCCTCGTCCGGCAAGGAAAGCAAGGGGAATCCTCTCACCGCGCCCCATTAGATTTTGTTCCCCCTCTATGTATAAACGAAACCGTGCACTCTTTTCCCGCCTTAGTCCCAAACTGAGAGGGTTTTTAACGAGGCACAAAATTAATTAATGATATTCTCCATTTTGTTCAACCCATCTTCTTACTTATTACTTTCTTACCTATGGTAAAAATCGAAATTGAACCAACCTTTTTCACGTAAACCCGAGGTCGAATACGAACCCCGGTATTCTCATTCGAGGTCGAATACGAACCCCGACATTCTCGTTAGAGGACGAATACGAACCTTGATCAAATCCTTCATGTAAACTCGAGGTCGAATACGAACCCCGGTATTCTCATTCGAGGTCGAATACGAACCCCGACATTCTCGTTAGAGGACGAATACGAACCTTGATCAAATCCTTCATGTAAACTCGAGGTCGAATACGAACCCCGGTATTCTCATTCGAGGTCGAATACGAACCCCGACATTCTCGTTAGAGGACGAATACGAACCTTGATCAAATCCTTCATGTAAACTCGAGGTCGAATACGAACCCCGGTATTCTCATTCGAGGTCGAATACGAACCCCGACATTCTCGTTAGAGGACGAATACGAACCTTGATCAAATCCTTCATGTAAACTCGAGGTCGAATACGAACCCCGGTATTCTCATTCGAGGTCGAATACGAACCCCGACATTCTCGTTAGAGGACGAATACGAACCTTGATCAAATCCTTCATGTAAACTCGAGGTCGAATACGAACCCCGGTATTCTCATTCGAGGTCGAATACGACCCCGACATTCTCGTTAGAGGTCGAATACGAACCTTGATCAAATCCTTCACGTAAACTCAAGGTCGAATATGAACCCCGGTATTCTCATTCGAGGACGAATACGAACCCCGACATTCTCGTTAAAGGTCGAGTACGAACCTTCATCAAATTTTTCACGTAAACCCGAGGTCGAATACGAACCCCGGTATTCTCATTCGAGGTCGAATACGAACCCCGACATTCTCGTTAGAGGTCGAATACGAACCTTGATCAAATTCTTCATGTAAACCCGAGGTCGAATAACGAACCCCAGTATTCTCATTCGAGGTCAATGCGAACCTTAATCCAATCGTTCACGTAAACCCGAGGTCAAATCAAAAATGTAAAAACGAGGTCAAGCATGAACCTCAATATTCTAAGCAAAGGTCGAGTCCGAACCATAACCAAATCAATTTGCTTGAGAGCCCGAGGCTGAGGTCGACAACGAACCTCGACGCCTTCGTAAAAAGTCAAGTCCACACCTTCATTCATTTGAGTCTGAGGTCGAGTACGAACCTCAATATCCCCACTTAATGGGTGGAGCCGAACCCCCATTAGCCAGTATGCCAATTCGAAGGGGTATGCGAACCCCCAACATGCAAATTCGAGGTCGAATGCAACCCTCGATATCCTCACAAGGTCGAGTTCGAACCTCAATCATACCTTTCACCTATCACCCCGCCACGTCCCCCAACCCATAACCCGGGGGCCGAGCATGAACCTCAATATCCCCACCTAAAGGTCGAATTCGAACCTTCACTATATCGCTCACCTCACACTGAGGTCGAAGCACAAACTTCAAGCATGTAAATCCGAACTCGGGTACGAACCTTAAGTATGTAACTCCAAGGTCAAGTATGAACCCCAATATTCTCACCTAAGGTCGAGTTCGAACCATAGCTGAATCGTCTACTCAAATCCAAGCCCAAATTGCGATACGCTCCATTTCCAAGTCAAGCACAAATCAAAACCGAGGTCGCGCATGAACCTCGGAACCTTCGTGAACGGTCAAGTCCATTTACGCAAATACGAGGTCAAATGCGAACCTCAGGCAAGTAAAGATGAGAACAAGTGCGAACCCTGACGATCACGTCAAAGGTCGAATACGAACCTTAATCAAGTCACCTCACCCAAATTCG